AAGTTGAGGAATAAATGAGAGGTGAGGAATAGGAGATGACAAATAAACGTCTCAGGTAACTCCTCTTGCCCAAAAGAGCTGGTGGTATAAAGAGGTTTGTATTGTTGATTTCAAAAGGAGGCATATGTGATATTTATACATAAGGGAAAGGAGCCAGCAGAGAGCGTGCAATAGAAGATAAAAGAGGGGAAGACTAATGGAACAACATCCCCCAAGGGAAGGGGAAAAAAGGAATTCACGACATAAGCATAAAATATTAGTATGGAGAACAAATGAATTTTCCATTGGACTGGGAGGGAAGTTTATGGTGCTGCTTAGTTTGTAGGGGCAAGAAGTTTAATGTGTTATTACTTCATGGCATTGACATTCTCTGTGATTTAAGAGACTAAGGTCACTGGCTGAGGGTGAAGGAGTAACCTTGGGGATTTTAGGAGGGCATAAACATTTAGAGTAATTACTGTGGAAGGGAAATTTTCAAGGGATAAGTTTAAATACACATACGCACATTCCAAATACTTTGAAAAACCTGTAATATATTTCACAACTGATAAAAAGGGCCTTGCACATAATTAAATACCTGCAAATTTATTATACTTTACATGAGGATTTGTTATGACCACACTAAAGAGATGAGCAGGTTGTCACAAATCCCTGAACATATGGTGTCCGCAATCAAAATGTAACTCAGTGGTGTTTGTGCATTGGACCTAAAAAACATGGCACTCTGCAAAAGTGCAGTTTCAGGGTGACTGGAAAGGCCCACAGTGAGTCATTTTCCCAAGCCTCTAGAGCAGAGGCCACAACTTTTCATTGTCCTTCAGAGTGAAAAAAAAAAGAGTGATCAGGCTGTTTTGCTATAGTTGCTAGAAAAGAAATGAAAGGCAATTTTTTGCTTCTCTTGACAGTGCTCACAGCAGGTGCTCTCCTAAGGTGTTCAAATAAAATAATGTTATGTCAAAGGTCTTTGTCAACTGTGAAGTAGTATACAAAAATTATTTTTATTGTAGCTGGTACCTAGTCATATTTCCAGTTCCATATTCTTTTATGCAATCTCAAGAACACTTCATTCTAATTATATCGGTGTATTCTGAGCTCTGATTTTTTTCCCTATTTTCATGTTCTTCCTGTGGCCTGAAGATTTGCTCTCATTCATTCTCTGTCTAGCCAGGTACTACCTACTGCATGCTTCAGCATAAGCCTCTTTGAAGGCTTCTCCGATTACTCCAGCTAGAAACAATCATTTCATTGGAACTATTCCAACCATTCCTTTTCTATACATAATTTGTTACATGGTATTTGTGCTAATTATATTTTTATCTTTGCCTGCCTTAAGCTCTAGAAAGCAGGAATTGTGTTTTCTAAATCGCCTTTTTAGCATGATGCTTGCACATAGCAGAAATGTGGCCTGTTGCTTCTGGAAGGAGTTTCAAATATCTTCATGTTACCAGTGAGAACACCAAGTGCAAGTCTCAGAGACACTAAGAGACTTGACAGAAATCACAGTTAGTTAATAGCAGAGCTGGAACCCAAAATAAGGATTTTAAACTTTTATTCCTATATTCCTTTCATTAAACCAATCCTCTATTGTTAGCCTGGTTCTATTTTGTAATCCAAATCTCAAAAAGAGTCATTCTTGACTCTAACGGTGAGACAAAGATTCAAACTTCTCTGCAAAAGCTTTTGTTTCAACTTTCATCTAGACTACATCCAGATTAATTAGCTTGGATGCATGAAAAAAAGTGAGTTTTTTCCCTTTCTTCTTTTTTTCCTTTCAGCATTCTATTTTGTCGCCATGTAGCTAAAGTCAGGGTAAATTATATGGTAGTGCTGACTCTGTAACTAGGGTGAATTTTTTTACAAATGTATTGGCTGTACTTGTACACCTCGGCTTCTGATGCTCTCATCACATTTGTGACTCATAGTTGGAAACCGCACAGCAGTTCAGTTACTGTAACAGAAGAAACCAGTACCTATAAAATTTCAGCACTGATATTGGGAGTGACCTAGAACTAATCACCAAGGGCAGAGGCTATACCTCAGACCCTTTGTTAGCCCTAGTATTTAATATTGTACTTCGTACATAATTAAAAATGAAAGTGTTTATTTTTAAAATAATTGGGTGACACTACATGAACACTATATCATGTGTAGAGTTGAAATTAAGACTGATTTAATTAGTGCAAATTAATTTAGACCTGGAATTTAACTCTAGGCAAAGAATTTATTTATAAAGATAACCTATTTGTAAAAAGAAAGCTAAATAATAAATTATGATTTTCTCTAATCCATTAAATTGAATAATTCTTAATGAAAGATGCAAATTTAAAGAGAAGCTGTGACATACAGTTATTTTACTGACCATTCTTCCATGGTTTGGTACAGTAACACTGGAACCGTAATGAGGCCAAGAGGGTTTATGTGGACCATCCTCATCTAAGATAACTTGGATAATCACTGTAAGAACCTAAAGGATTTGCCTACTCAGCCTTATAAGGAATATCCACTAAAAATTCATCCAATTTAGCTTCTCTCTTTCATTGAGAATTTGGGGCATATTATTCTCTGAGCTGTGAGTGACACACTTGAACACCATAGAGCAGACAAAATGTAACCAGGGAGTTCTTGTCTTACTCAGTCTTTATCTTGCTATGTGACTCTTCAGGAACTGTTTAACTTGAGTTAACTCTTTTAGTTCCTTTACCTGAAATGGGAAGTGAAGGTATTTACTCAAATCCTGATAGACATAAAACACACTCTTCTCCCTCCTTTTATCAAACAAGGCTTCCCTTATTCCACTGAGCTGATGAATAGGGATCACTTACCACTCTTCACTCCGGGTATTCTCAAAGGGCATTCTAATTGTCTGCAGTCTCCTGAAGTACTCCCAAGACACTTACCTGTAATCTAATGGTACCTCAATTACCCATATCACTTTCTGAAATTTCCTTAAAATCAAGATTGTCTCTGCCCGATTTTCACCACAAGAATTTAGGGTGACAGTTAACAATTGTATAAAATCACAGCATAAAACAAAATATAAATCCTCAAAAAAAGTGCACTTCTTAGACACCCAGAATGAAGACTTGGTTTCTAAACTGTGTCCTATAAGAGTGTGAAATCATATGTCTTCATTAGCTGTTTAGGACTAAAAACCAAACAAACAAAAACCGTACCAGTTCTTTATCTACATACACAAAACACATATTTCTATTTATCTAATTGGGCCTTTTTCTCTGTCAGTGAATTGGGGTTATACTGTTCAACTGTTACTAGATGAATTAATAATTTCACATTCTCATATGCTAATTATTAAAACTTAGAGGACTATTAAAAAGCTAGTAGAGACAAGTTTACAAGTAAGTGAAAATAAAAAGGGTTGTTGGTGGTTATATTTCCAAAACACTTTATAAACATCTACATTATTTATTTCTAGTTTCAGGAAGAAAAACTGAGGTGGAGAAATGAGTCGATTATATCCATAGCGAGGAGAAAAAAGCTGGAGCTCCTCAGATGAGAGTAATGTGGCTTTCTTCCCTGCTGCAGAACTTTCCCAAAGCAAACTGGGTCCTAATGACATGGTTTTCCTCCCTCAAGAAGTATTTCTCTACCTGGGAATGAACATCCTGAAATTTCCTTCCCAACTAGATTCCTCGCTGGGCGTGTGGGTAGCAGAAGCAATACCCTCTGCCAAGTAAAGCAGCAAAGTGCTAACCGAACTTCTTCATGTGTTCAAGGGCTTTCCCAAAACAATTTCACATTTCGAAATGAGTCAGCAGATCCTAAACTCATTTTCCTCATTTGACCACTATGGAAATGCTGAGGGTGAATTATCCACTTACTGAGATTGAAATGAGGAACAAGAAAACATAAACTTCTTAGCTCAGTATGATTAGGACTTGTCAGAAAATAAAAACCTTTCCTTTTATAATTAATTATTCTGCAGCAGCTACTGCTAAAAAACAGCAACAAGAATATCCATTATGCTACTCAAATTCTAATTTTTAAAATATGCTAGAATCCAAAAAAGTCAGAGGTATTTCTCAAGGAGAAAGTCCTGAAGGAAATGGCGTTTTGATAGAAAGGGAAAAGAAAAAATCCCCTATGTTATCCTTAAGAGGAAAATGTTCCATTTGTAGTAAACATAAAACAGTAATAAAATATGACATTCTCATGCAACACAGTCTCAGGATTTTCACTTATGAAATAACATCTTTTGAGTGGTTTATCGATGGTGTCTAACTGTGAAGTCTGCTAAGATAGGTAAACCACAACAAACATTGGTACCAGTAACCTCCAAGCCTGGCTGTGTGAAACTCTCTCAAAAAGATGGAAAATTATCTCACACTAAGTAGGGTTGGCCTGGAAACTCATGAAAAAATGCTGGGTCAGGGAGAGCTTATGTTTTTGTTTTGTTTTATTCTATCTTCAGTGGGTCCGGTCCTACAGCAGTCCCACAGTCCCACATAATCTCTGCACCACCCCACCAGCTCATGGAAGGATGGTCCACATTTTGAGCACAGAAGCTAGCACACACAATCAAATAAAGCCTAATCACCACCACCATCACTTTGCAAAAATCATTAGATGGCTCCAATAAAATACAGAGCTTCATAAGTGAATAGAAATATAAACTTGAAAGTCTAAAACGAAACGCATATAAATCAAATTGCTTTACACTAACTTCCTAAAAGCTCTTCTCTGCTGTCGGATATCTACGTGAACAACTCCATCCAGTACCCAGAAAGCTTCCAGCGGCAAATGAAGCTGAGATTCACCCCGGGGCTAAGTTTTCTAAGGTCCATAGTGTCTTTACAGGCTGTCTTTCCCCATCTTGTACAGAGGCTCTACAGCACAAGAAATTTGCTAAAATTGTTGTTCGGTTGTGGGTAGTATGCTCGCCATTCAATACTCTACTGTTTCCTTAACACGCATATGATTAATATTGGTACTCAGTTAAGAGAACATCTTCTGACCTTGAGCGTGCGCGCTAAATAAATTACCTCAGAACGAAAGTGGTGTGATCTCATAACAGCATCTGGAGAGAAAAAAGAAAACCGAGACTTCATTTAACTCTCCGTTCTTCATCTGCAGAGTTACTGATGACTTAACCTGGGGGGCGGGGGCAAGGGTCGGGAAGGCACATTCCAAATGCCTCGAATTCAGTGGGAGACATCCTATATGGCAGGAGGTTACTAGGCCATCAGTCTGTAAGTGATTTCTCCACGAGAAGTTTCAGGGGAAGTTCTGGGAGAGTTGGGGAGCCCCGAACTCTACATGCCTTACTTTCTTACTCCTAAGCTCCAACGGTGGATGGGTGAAGGAAGGCTGTCGCAGCCCCGGACTCTGCTCCAATTACCCTCAAGGGCTTAGGAAACTGACTCTAAGAATTTCCGTCCGCTCCTCTCCTCCCAGCTCTCTGCATCGCTGTGTTTATCTCAACCCGGGAGACTAGAGGAAGGGGGTGAGCGCAAAAGAGGCGAGGGACGTTAAATACATAAACGTACTCAGCTTGGGGAGTGGGCAATGATGGAGATAGTGTCAGCAGCGCAGAAGGGAGCGAGCCGCGCTTCACTCTCCAAATCGGCTTAAATGTCCCTCCTAGCCCGAAGACACACGTCGCAGCGTGTCTTACCTCGGCTCCTTGAACGACCCGAAAAGACCGATTTCATCGGATGCCTCCCTTTCTGGAGCTTGCGATGCCAGCAGCAGAAGAAGACGATGGTGGCGATGGTGCCCAGCAGAAGCAACAAGAGAAAGAGGGCACATTGGATGCTGTAGGGTCTCAGCAAGACCAGGAAAGCCGCGGCGATCATGGTGCGGGCGAGGCGGGGGCAGCTTCGCGGTGGGGCTGGAGGGCGGCGGCACAGACACCCGCGCGGGGCGCACGCCGAAGTGGCGGGCACGGACGAGCGCGGCTCAGCGCGTCATGCCCGGCGCACGCGGCCCTGCGCCCAGCCCAATGGCTGCGCACTCCGCGCCAGCCGCTCTATGCGAGTGATCCAGGGCGCGGGGAGCGCTTGCCATGACTCAGCAGACGGCGACAAGGCTGGGACTTGGCGGCGGGGAGCCTTTCCCATCCCTCCCCTGGCACCCCCGCCCCCGCCCG